AGAATGATTTGGTCACTATAGCAACTACTGAGCTCAAAGGTTAAACCTCACATGGGACATGTGAGGCCCTCCTTTATTTTGTAAATATAGACCTTTGGCTATTCTCAGTTCTCTTGTCTTATGGAAACGTAACTTCTGCTGGCTCCCTGCTCCCTTGTCTTATGGAAATGTACTCTTTTGCAACTCTGAAGCCCTGTGTTTCTTTCATGGACCCCCTTAATTTTAAAAATTCCCTATACCTGCCTTCTTCACCTCCCAAAATTCCTATTTCAGCAGCAAGTTTGGAGCACAGATTGGATGGCCCTAAATCAGGGAGCTTTCTACAAATCAGCTCCTAGGAGCCCAGGCTGATTTCTTCCTGAAGGCCAGTTCCAGGAATCAGCCTGCTCATTCCTGCCAGGAACATGTGCCCTCGCCTACGGCATCCCTTCGAGCAGGAAACCCCAAGAGAACTCTGTGACGAGGAGACGGCTATACTTGCACTGGGCAGTAGGTAGCCACCGCTGAGTACTTGAAACGGGCTGTGTGACTGAGGACTACACTGTAAATGTTTTAATTTGAATAGAAATAGCTACAGGTGGCTAGCAGCTCAGTAGCCTCAGAGCTTTCCTTACATGTGGCCTGGTCTGCCAACCGCACCTTCTCTCTTCCATTAACATGAAGCATGTGCCCTAGTTGAGTTTTACACACACGTGGAAGCTTGTACAAAGATGGCCTAGGGCCCTAGCCAGTTTGGCTCAGTGGATAGAGTGTCAGCCTGCGGACTGAGGGGTCCCAGATTCGATTCCGGTCAAGGGCCTGTACCTTGTTTGCGGGCACATCCCCAGTAGGGAGTGTGCAGGAGGCAGCTGATCGATGTTTCTCTCTCATTGATGTTTCTCGCTCTCTGTCTCTCTCCCTTCCTCTCTGTAAAAAATCAATAAAATATATTAAAAGAAAAAAAGATGGCCTAGGGTAGGCGTGCCATTTTGTAATCTGCTTTTCTTCCCTCGTGACAGGTAGTGCGGAGCTCCAGGTCACCACTGTACCTCCTCTCCTAAGTGTTGCCCAGTATTCTCTATGTTGCAAAGATCCACATCTTATCTAACCACCTCCCAGTGATGGACGCTTGGGCTGTTTCCATTGTTTTCCTAACACGACAAACACACTTCCAGAAACATCTTTGCATGTATATCTACCTAGGTGGTAGAATTTTAGTATGAAACATTCTCTTTTTTTTAATATATTTTATTGATTTTTTACAGAGAGGAAGGGAGAGAGATAGAGAGTTAGAAATATCGATGAGAGAGAAACATCGATCAGCTGCCTCCTGCACATCTCCTACTGGGGATGTGCCCGCAACCCAGGTACATGCCCTTGACCGGAATCGAACCTGGGACGTTTCAGTCCGCAGGCCGACGCTCTATCCACTGAGCCAAACCGGTTTCGGATGAAACATTCTTAAAGGGGGGGTTGCTAAATTGCCCTTAAAAAAGCATGCCTATCAGGGAAAGTGTGTGAGTATGCTCATATGCTCACGTACCAAGGCTAAACTAACATCGAGGGGGACAGTTCTTAATTCTTTTTAAATTGGATGTGATTGTTTCTTTAGTTTACTTTTTTCTGAATTACCAGTGAAGTTGAGAGGTTTTCCCTTGTATTTCTTGTTTCTGCTTGTTATTTCTCTTATCAATCTTTCCACTATGCTGTTTCTTTTTCTTATTGCTTTATAAGGGCTCTTTGTATTTTGTCCATTTTATCAAATACTTCTTCCCAGACTGTAGTTTGTCTTTTAACTTTACTTAACATTTGCATAGAGAAGCTTTGTTAATTTTGTGGCCTTCTTTGAGAACTTTAAACATTAATTGCTAAAGAAAGAAACAACAAAGCCAACAGGACGGTTACACAGTTAGTCCCTGGTCCAGGGCAGATGCCCTTTAGGTCCCCGCTTCGGTGCTTTCCAGCTGTCCGGTCCTGGGAAAATACTAGATCTCACGGGCCTTCGCCCTTGCAGTCTGTAAAACGGGAATAAAACTGGCCTTTTACGAATTTAGGGAAGTGTGTAGCTTTCATCTTGGCTGAAGACGCCCGTTCCCTTTTCCTGAAGTAGGTTCATCAATCAAATCAGAACAATTGTGTTAAACACTGTATTTACTAGGATCTTCTAACTACAGGACGGGGAGAGGGGACGGCATGGCGGATGTGGCCATTAACAACTCCTAACCGCTCTGGGGAGCACAGTATCACAATTTTACCGGGAGCAACGGAGTCCAAGGAACCCCGTTCCTGGGTCTTTAAAACTAAGAGCCTCACCACCGAGCTGTCTGCGCGCCTCCGCCAGGAAGCCCTCGGGCCGCCTAGCCTACCCGTGGGTTAGACATGCCGAGGGGCGACGAGGGTGGAGAGCGACGCGGAACCAAGTGTCCCGGGCTCGGGTGTCTCGGGCTCTCTTTCCTTGCTGTTTCTCCGCGGTGCCTTTTGGGAGTTGTAGTCAGACGCGCTTCAGCCAGCTTGTTGGGTGGACAAGGGCAAAACTCCAAATCCCAGTATGCCGCGCGGCGGTCGGGTGCAGCGCCTGCTCTGATCCTCCCTACTTTTCTACTCCTTCCCTTCTCTTCTGAATCCTCCGCTCGGGACCCCTGTCTGTGAAAGCCTTCGTCGCTCTCCCTACCCTTTTCTCTAATTTTTAACCGTCCTTTCCCCTATTTCCTGGAGCCAGTGCGAGACATTGACTCCGATTAAGCGACGTACACGAGTTGGGGTGGACAGAGTGGTAAGGGGCCGGGAGAAGGGACGGCGGAGGGCAGGAGCGTTGAGTGAGAGGGAGGAGTGGGAGGGAGGAGTGGGAGGAAAGTGGGAAGTTAGATCGGACGTGGTGGATCAGGTTGAATGGGGTGAAGCAGTAGTCTTGGGGGGAGGAAGAGGAAAGAGGTGGACTTAGACTGGGGAGACATGGAGGGAGAGGTAGCTTATTGCCGTGGCCAGCAAGAGACGTGGGCCAAGTAGATGGGAAGGCCTGACAGATGTGGAGCGTAGGGGCTGCTCTGACCAGGAGAGGTCACTGCTTAGTAAAGACGAGACAAATTACCGAAATACAAAATGATTTTGAAAATATGGGACAATTAACAGCCTGTTGCTAGGAAATTAAGAGAAGACTGGAGGTGAGGCCAGAGTGGGGTGAGGAGGCAGGAGAGGAAGAAGTCAGTCGGGTTTGGGAGGAACAAGAGATGAATGACATGGAAAGGGAAACCGGAGGAAAGATGGGTCATGGTGGGGCCAGTGGATGGGACCTGAGTGAGAAAGGCGAGGGGTGATGTTGGCACACATTGTGGGCAGTGTTTCCAACACTTGCATCTCAGGTGATGGAGAGCACCCCGTCGAGGGCTGGACTGAACCGAGCACACCTGCAATGCAGGAATCTGCAGGAGTTCCTTGGGGGCCTGAGCCCTGGGGTGCTGGACCGACTCTACGGGCACCCTGCCACCTGTCTGGCTGTGTTCAGGTGAGGCTGCCTGTCCTGACAGGCACCATGGTGGGCAATGCAATGGGCCTGCAGACTGGGGCAAGTCGTCATGGGTAGGAGCATTAATTCTAAGGGGCTTGGAGATTAAAGTGTATCAGGTCAAAACAGATGGTGTTTGTGGGACGGCGAGACGGGCAAGGCTGTGGGGGTGAGAGGCTGAGGTGCGGGTGGAGAGCAGTTGCTGACACTAACATTTTGTCTCTGCCCCCTGCAGGGAGCTCCCGTCTTTGGCTAAGAACTGGGTGATGCGGATGCTCTTTCTGGAGCAGCCTTTGCCGCAGGCTGCTGTGGCCCTGTGGGTGAAGAAAGAATTCAGCAAGTGAGTCTGCTGCATTCTCAGCTAGATTTCCCAAACTGCTGTTCCCGGGGACATTTTCAGGAAGAGTAATGGGTACAGCACAAAACTTGTAACTAAATGAGTCTGGGAAGCTTGGCATGCTGCTTTCCCTCGGGGAGAGTTGTGATAAGGCTCCGGTAAGTGCTGCAGTACAGAAATTTGCCTTAAGAAGACACTGATTCACCCAGAAACAGTGACCCAAGGAACACCAGTTCAGACAAGGTAGGAATGGAGGCCATTCTGAGCCTCCTTTTTTTGTTCTCCAGACACCCCCTCACTCTCTGTTTCTGTGTCAGAGCTCAGGAGGAAAGCACAGGGCTGCTGAGCGGCCTCCGGATCTGGCACACGCAGCTGCTTCCTGGTGGTCTCCAGGGCCTCATCCTCAACCCCGTCTTCCGCCAGAACCTCCGCACTGCGCTTCTGGGTGGGTATGTCCTTCCTGATCTTCCTGAGCCGGGCCAGGGCCTCCGGACCCGAGGGCCTCCTACGGGAGTCCCTTTAGGAATGAGTCGGGCCGGATGTGGCTCACAGCATGGGGAAGACCTCCCACTCATGGCCCCTGGGGACGAGGGTGGAAGGAGGGCAGAGGGTGGGCCTGGGACACAGGCAGGGCTCCTTACTCTTGGCCTGTCTGGGCGTAGGGGCAAGGCCTGGTCTGATGACACAAGTCAGCTGGGACCAGACAAGCATGCCCGGGACGTCCCCGCACTGGATAAGTACGCCGAGGAGCGATGGGAGGTGAGGCCTGGGGGCTCGGTGTGTCTCTGCGTGTGCTCCTTCCCGTGGGCCCTCGAGGCATCTGCGCTCTCCCCGCCCTCAGGTGGTCCTGCACTTCATGGTGGGCTCCCCCAGTGCAGCCGTCAGCCAGGACTTGGCTCAGCTCCTCAGCCAGGCAGGGCTGATGAAGAGGTGAGGAAGCCAAAGGCACGCCAGCGCCCCGCTTCGCCTGCCGAACGGAGTGTCTGGGAGGTCAGGAGTGGAGGGGCTTGACTGAAAAAGGAGAGTTGAAAGGAGTGCGGCCAGAGATAACCCAGAAGGCGTGAGAGGACCAGTGGGGATTGTGGCCTTTCTCTGCACGCCTCTCCCATCCCTCTCCCGCCCCCAGTGCTGAGCCTGGAGAGCCGCCCTGCATCACCTCTGCTGGCTTCCAGTTCCTGTTGCTGGACACCCCCGCCCAGCTCTGGTACTTCATGCTGCAGTACCTGCAGACGGCCCAGGTGAGGGGCGGGACCGCTCGCCGCTCGCGGCTCTTCCCAAGGCCCCCTCTGAAGCTGCTGCCAACAGACTGCTCCCTGACCCTCCTCTCCTGTCTCTGCCCACCCCTCAGAGTCGGGGCATGGACCTAGTGGAGATCCTCTCCTTCCTCTTCCAGCTCAGCTTCTCTACTCTGGGCAAGGTATGCAGGGGCTGGGGCTGGGCATGGTGGGCGAACTGAAGGGGTGAGATGGGAAGGGGACGTGGGGCTGTGTGGCAAGAGTGAAAGATGAGAACGAACAGAGCACGGCCAGAGATGGGAAGAGAGAGCGAGTGGTGGGCTTGGCAGGGAGAGGAGGGGAGGTGTTTCGGACCCCAGCTTGCTACCTCTTCCCCAGGATTACTCTGTGGAAGGTATGAGTGATTCTCTGTTGAACTTCCTGCAGCATCTGCGTGAGTTTGGGCTTGTTTTCCAGAGGAAGGTATGAGCACCCAAACACAGGGCTTCTCGGGAAGAGGCGGGTCCATGTTGCCAGGGCCTTTAGGAAGGAGAGGGCCTTCTCGAGGCAGCAGAAAGCAGTTGCCAGACTTGGGTCCCTTGGGAGAGAAGTTGGGTGGGGCTCTGTGCACTGGGAGGGATCGGGTGTCTCAAGAAGGAAGGCATGAGACCTGAGGGCCCTCTGCCTTTCCCTCCACCCTTCCCAGAGGAAGTCTCGGCGGTACTACCCCACGCGCCTGGCCATCAATCTCTCATCGGGTGTTTCTGGGGCGGGGGGCACTGCGCATCAGCCAGGCTTCATTGTCGTGGAAACCAATTACCGGCTGTACGCCTACACAGGTGAGGCGACAGAGGCCCTGGGAGAGCAGGTTGGGATGGGAGTGGGGAGGGAAGGAGGTTGGAGGAAATGTCAGTTTTTTTCAGTTTACCCGACAGTGTACAGTTTTCCAACACTTCCGATCACACATGAGGGCAGGGCTGAGGGAGCCTGGGTGCAGGGCAGCCTCCTCATCCTCTCTTCCCATCCCCGTCAGAGTCGGAGCTGCAGATCGCCCTCATTGCCCTCTTCTCTGAGATGCTCTATCGCTTCCCCAACATGGTGGTGGCGCAGGTCACCCGGGAGAGCGTGCAGCAGGCCATCGCCAGCGGCATTACAGCCCAGCAGGTAGCCCGCTTGGGGGTGGCGGGAAGACGGGGTGCGCACGGGCTGTGTGGGCCCCTTAGAGGAGGCCAGCACCAGGTCTGTGCAGGGGGTGGTGTGACTTGCCTGCTTGAGCATAGAGCAGGCACATGAGGAGAAGTTGAGGCTCTCGGCGTGGGAAAGACTGGAGGGACCAGGGATAGCTCTGCATCTGTGTCTTGGCACCACTACTTCCTGGCTGCATAAACAGGCTAGGTGCTTCGTTTCTGAGCCTGTTTCCTTATGTGGGAAATGGGAATCCTGAGTTTTCAATTCGCTGGATTGTGGGGAGGATTCAGTGAGAGAGCAGCAGTGAGACATTGAGCTCAGAGCCTGCCACACAATAAGTGCTGCTATTTTAAAGAAAAACAAAATAAGACTGTGCAAAGGGCAGATGAAATGGCAGACATGGCCCGTGGGAACAGCAACTTGGGACAACAGCTGAGCAGGGAACGGGCTGATGACAGCCGGTGGCTGAGTTTGTAAGCAGTGAGTTGATGTTATAGGTGATGGCTGAGGGAGTTTTCCTGCCTTCTTATTCAAGCCCTTGATTCCATTCTTCTCTGTGGTTTTAGATCATCCATTTCCTAAGGACAAGGGCCCACCCAGTGATGCTTAAACAGGTACGGACAGGTACCACGTGCTGGAGGCTGACAGCCCTGCACTGGTGACGAAGCGCTGGACAATCTGGGGGATGCGTGGAGGGCTGGGTCCTCTGGGGCAGTGTTCCGGAATCTCACAGCCACCTCCTGGCCCTGCAGACACCTGTGCTGCCGCCCACCATCACCGACCAGATTCGGCTGTGGGAGCTGGAAAGGGACAGACTCCGCTTCACCGAGGGTGAGTGGCTTTGGTGGCTGATCCTTAGCCTTTGGCCAGAGGAAGGACAGTTCCGTCTTGATGACCTGAAAAAGCTATTAATGAATTTTTTGTTTTGTCTTGCTGACAAGACACTTTATTTCCCGGCGAGTCTCAAATCTGTGCAATTTGGATTTAGTTAGGAGAGGGAAATTGGGAGGGGCCACCTCTCTGGTTTTGGTGAGCATTATGGGTTTTCTTACTGCACTATGTTGCCTCCCCGAATATGGTTGGGTGAGCCAAGGAGGAGACTTAGAGGGCTACACTGACAAGGTGGGCGGCCTGGGGCGAGGGGCTCAGGGCTCGCCTCCTCTCCCCCAGGCGTCCTGTACAACCAGTTCCTGTCGCAAGTGGACTTCGAGCTGCTGCTGGCCCACGCGCGGGAGCTGGGCGTGCTGGTGTTCGAGAACGCGGCCAAGCGGCTCATGGTGGTGACGCCTGCGGGGCACGGCGACGTCAAGCGCTTCTGGAAGCGGCAGAAGCACAGCTCCTGACGCGGGCGCCGGACGCCCCGGGGACTTGGGGGACCTGCACGTGGGGACGCTGCTGTTCAATAAAGTCGGAAAGCGCTCC